GGTACTGTGAGAGTTAGACAGCTGCTACGGGCTGCTTCCTGAGTGTGTGTGTGTGTGTGTGTGTGTGTGTGTGTGTGTGTGTGTGTGTGTGTGTGTGTGTGTGTGTGTGTGTGTGTGTGTGTGTGTGTGTGTGTGTGTTAGAAAGAAATATATGTAGTAGACATAATAGAGGATAATTGATTGGTTAGAAAGGCGGAGACCAAGAGCTAAGAGCTCGAAACCGCAGGCAGAAATAGTAAATACAGGGACGACCTCGCTTCTTGCAGGTTGGCGTTCGATCCCCGACGGTGGAAGTGGTTGGGCACCGTTCCATGAATGAATATTGCAGGTGCAACAGTCATACTGGCTTACCACTTTCCCCTGATTACCTTACCTTACCCCCAGTTCAACCTCGCATGTCTCACACTCTACAAGTACACATATCAACTGCTGGTTTTTTTACCAAGATTTACCTGAAAGCCATTATATCTCTAGTGATCTAGACGGGGACAGGAAGCCGGCGGCTAGCCAAATGTTCCCCCCATTGCTCTTGAGGATTTTTTTTTTCACTTGAAATTTAAATTAAAGTAATTATTGTCTTGGCATTTACAGAGCCTCGGCGGGTAGGCGGTTCCATTGGTTTATAACCCCGTGGGGTGAAGAAGTATATCTTCTCAGTTGTACATTGTGGCGTGTTGAGCTTGAAGCCCTTCCCTCTTGTATCTGTTACATCTGATTAGTTTTAAGGAAGTGGTCTAGATTAATATCCTCCACCTTGTTCAATATCTTAAAGTTCTCGAGGTGATGAGCCTTGTCATGTCTGGTTTGCAGTGCTGTTAGTCCTGTGGAATAAACTGGCAGGAGTTTAACCCTTCCTGGCAAGAGCCTCGATTTACTTCTGGGATTGTGTGTGTGGCTGTGTGTTATGAAGCCACACCACTCGTCGCCATGTTGAATCACCAGGCCACAGTGCAGGTCCCACCACGCTAGTCACACGCACCAATGACCGGAGTCGGGGCTCCATACATTTACGGCCCCGCTCATTCCAGAGTTGACACCAATAATCAACTTTTAAATGAATTCGACGTCGAGCATACAATTGTTTGAGTGCCCCCATTGATCGAGGGGGGGGGGGGAGCTGTAAGCCTAGTAGACTATTATCTGGAGTTAGGCAGCAAACCTTGACCCAATAGTTCATCACTCTCTGCGATCAAGAGAGTGATCGCTTACCTCACTTAATCTCTCACTTAAGTGAGAGTACCTCACTTTTAATCTTATTTAAGTGAGAGTACCTCACTTTTAATCTCACTTAAAGTGAGAGTACCTCACTTAATCGTAGAGTGAGGTGAACCCACGCTAATAAATGTCCACGTTTTTGCATGTATAATAAGTATAGCTGCTAAACCCCACCTGCTTCCACGATATATCTGTGAATAATCCCCGAGGTCTTATATCATGACCTCAGTATACCTAGACAAAGGAAGCTATACCACACACATACCTGAGGTGTGGTCAGATGAGGTACACAAGCAGCTCGCGGCACTGTAGGTCAGCTTGGGGTCCTCAGTCGCCGCTAACTGAGGCAACTTGCTAAACCCAGAATATACATATTCATGGACACTGGAGCCACCTGCTCCAATCTGCTGCCACTGACGTCACGTGTGAGGAGCTGGGCGCCTCATTCTCAGATTCCTGTCCCCCCCCCCTCACAAATTAAGCTAAAATAAACAAGTATATAAACGGCTGAATTATTTACTTAATGAAGATTAACAGGACTAGCAATGTTAATACAAAGTTCACTACTGGTCTCGTCTGACGTCAACGGTTTGACGCCTGTCCCTTATCACTAATATACCTGAACAAGCGCAGGGAACAGTTTGAACAGAAGTGAACAGTATATGAAGGAAATGGTTATTACTTCCGGTGACATTAATAGGCGTTTTGGCCTTCAAAAAAAATAATAATCAAAAGGAAATATAATTTAGCATTATTTTGGGAGAATTTGAAGTACCGGCAAGAGTTACATATAATTTACACAAAAGGAAGAAGACACAACAGGGCATCAAACCACTTACTCTATATACAACAGTGCATGTAAGGTGCTTGCTCTACCTCCTCCTCGCCAAGAGTAGGGGACGTGACTGTGGCGACCAATCCCTCAGTGCAACCCCACCACTCATGTTGACACGCCTCGGGGCAACAACACCTCTGCAATAAACAATTACCTGTCAATCACTCCCACACATCTTGCAATTACACCACATCAAAATGACAATTATAATTAATAATATTCAAATAATTGTACAAGTATATATATATATATATATATATATATATATATATATATATATATATATATATATATATATATATATATATATATATATATATATAGTCTGTTCCTCGCTTTAATGACAGCTATTTAGCCTGTTTCTCCCATTGCTTTCTCTCCCACTATAGGGCGCCTGATAGCTTGAGTGGACAGCGCTTCGGATTCGTAGTTCTGAGGTTCCGGGTTCGATCCCCGATGGAGGCGCAGACAAATGGGCCAAATGTTTCTTTCACTCTGATGCACTTATTCACCTAGCAGTAAATAGGTACCTGGGAGTTAGACAGCTGCTATGGGCTGCATCCTGGGAATGTGTAACAAAAAGGAGGCCTGGTCGAGGACCGGGCCGCGGGGATGCTAAGCCCCGAAATCATCTCAAGATAACGCATCCCCCCTGACGCCAGGTGTCAAGGCTGCTTGCCCACCCAATCGTGATGATATCAGGTGTCAAAGGTACTTGGCCCTCACCTTCCTTGACGGCGGGTGACTGGTCAGCTCTCCCCGGCCAACCCGTTCTCGCAAATTTAGTAAGTCAATATTGACTTATTAAATATGTGCATAGGTGACATACTTAACATAATAGTTTCCCTTGAAAAGCTTCATAGAAAACACCGACCTTACCTAACCTACTTAGTATGTTAAGATAAGCATCTTATTGCTTCGTAATTACAATTATTACCTAACCTATAATAGGTATAGGTTAAGTAATAATTGTAATTACGAAGCAATAAGATGCTTATCTTAAGATACTAACAAGGTTAGGTAAGGTCGGTGTTTTCTATGAATCTTTTTAAGGGTATCTATTATGTTTAGTATATCACCTATGCACGTAGTTAATAAGTCAATATTGACTTTACGAATTTGCGAGAACGGGTTGCCCCGGCCGTCAAGTGTGGTGGAAGACCCCCCCCCCCCCACAGCTTCAAGCTACGCTACACACACACACTAACATTATGCTCGACTTGTGACAGTCACATGCAAACCATATTTACCATAAGCGACTGATACAGAATATTTTATGAGAGTTAGAATGTGTTTTAGTTTGTGCAGCGAGGCTACATTTGCTGCTCAGTCATTGATTTATTTTTATGGCAAAGAAAACGGCGTACTATACACAGAGTATACTGGTAAGCGACTACTATTATACAGAGTACACAAGTAAGTGTCCAGTACTATACACAAAGTACACAGGTAAGTGGGACACACCATGGTGACACACACACACACACCTGTAGCACCAAGATACACACCTGCTGAGTGCGAGGAACAAATTCATATACTCTACGGTAATAATTTTGTGAAATTACTGAATGTTTGGATGGGTGGATTAGGCTCCGATGACGATGGTAAAATTGAAGGTTTTTGATCCATACAAGTGTGGCCAGATGGCTGTAACAACCATTAGGTATCTTGTGTTGATACAAACATTACAGTCAACTAAACATTTCCAGGGGGTTATGTAACTTCAGATGTTTAGGCTGCCCCATCACCCCCCTCCCTCCCTCTGATGTCACATGTGTGGTCTTGAGAGACAAGGTATAGTTTATACACTTCTCCATAGCTCCACCACACCCACAGCTCTGATGTCAGGTGTATAGGCTGTTCCCTCGATCTCCCTCCCCCACGCTGACGCCCAGGTGAGACGTGAATTACCCGAGTATAATGAGATGAATGGGCTGACTACTATGTTGATGTATGCGTGTGTTCAGGGAGGCCTAGAGTGATCTCTGAGGGGGGCGGGGAGGGTGGCTAGGAGGGGTGGGTGGAGGGGAGAAGGACTGGTAGAGAAGGGGAGGGGGTGAGGGTGGGGGGGGGGGAGGGCGAGTAATAAACACACCTGATGTCGTCTAAATGGAATACCTGCCACTGTTTCTACCATCGTCACTACTAGTGCCATCGTTAGTGTCATTGTCACCATCCCCCCCACCACAATCACCACCTCTCACCACCACCACCACCACCACCACCTTGGCATGTCTCAAACCACCACACCTGCCATTGATTTGAAACTAATCATTCCAATCAGATGCCCCCGGCGACTCAGAAGAGCATCTCTCACTTTCAGTCTTCTGATAACACTATCACCACCCGCTGTGCACACTGCAATGTTCACTATTAAACACCTGCTCGTCAATATGTGCAATAACATCTGCCACAGTGTGCCGCCGGCTCCACCAGTCCTCCCTCCAGCTCCTAGAGACAGAAAAAAACAAAAAAATAAAACTTTCTGCGTGTAAAATATTTCTCTCCGCGAACTGACATTACTGATTATCGCCTGCCAGACTAATTTTAAAATTTTAATTAAATCAGAGTTGTTTTTCTGTCTTAGAATTAAAAAAAAACATCTTAGCTGAGGAGAATTCTTCGTCCCGCTTGTCTCCCAGCAACATATGAAAATGATCTTTTAATCAACTTTTTAATTCCGTCGCCACATTTTTATATTCTTTTGTTCCACGTGACCGTGCTGGAGGGTTGGGGGTGTGTGCTGGGGGTGGCTGTGTTGGTGGTGGCTGTGTTGGTGGGGGGCGGTGCTGGGGAGAGGGGTGCTGCGTTGGTGGGGGCTGTGCTGGGGAGGGCTTTGCTAGTGGGGGCCCATGCCAATGAAGTGGTTCCAGTAAGCCTGTGGTGTGGGGAGGGGTTGTGTTGATGAGCCGGGCCGGCCATCAGTGTAGCGAGGGCTGGCCTCCCTGCC